GTTTTTTTATATTTTCAATATTTTTTTTAGTCTTAAATTAGATTATTACACCGCACCGTATATATATATATATATATATATATATATATATAACAGAAAAAATAGGGGGCAATTACAAATTATGAAATTAGTGTTTCGAAACGCTTGCTGCTTCACTCCCTCTTAGGATGGCAAACGGGCGGATCGGATGCGGATACCCCCTCCCCTATCCCCATACCCACCTAATATTTTTCAATCCACCACCCGCCCACCACCATGATGGGTACAAATTTTCAAATCCACACCCGCCACGGGTACATTTTCAAATCTATCCCCACACCCACTACCCACTAGCGACATACCCATCTAGACCCGCCTGACAGCAAACTAATGGGATGTTGGAGTTGGTTCCCAGACAGTTCGTGATGGGTAGCAGCGCATGCTTCAATTTGTCATAGGAGTAGTTCTATGAATGTTATGGAGACAGATTGTAGGGAGCATGTAGTCGCAGAGTTGGATTGTTGTTGCTTTCGATGTTAATGCTTATAATGCGCTTAATATGGTTTTGAGGGGCTAAAGAACATGGAAACTACTGCTTTTGATGTTAATGCTTATAGTACGGCTAATTTGTGTTTGGATTGACAACATGGGCTAAAAACATAGAAAATGACGTGGTTAGTAGGATTATGGGTTTAATCAAAGAACCGAATATTTCTCTAATTAAAGACCATATTAAAGACTAAATATCCTTAATATTTGGATAAATTGTATGTTATATATTATACAATATTATAATTTATAAATTAGTCTCTAAAATTACACCTAAATTCATAATGGTCCAAAATTTAATAGATATTTAACTAGGTGGGCGGATGTGGGGCGGGTGGATGCGGGGCGGGTAATGTCTCAAACCCATTACCCGCCCACAACCCACGACGGGTACCACTTTATAAATCCACACCCGCCCACTACCCGCTAAAATTATACCATCCCCACTCCAATTAAAACGGATGCGGTGCGAAATCCACAAAATTATACATGTTTGCCATTCCTACTCCCTCTCGCTGCTGCTTAAACCCTAACCCCTCAATTCTTCACTTTGTTCCCTTCATTTCCTATTTACGTTCGCTTCTTTCGCCCGTTTCCAAAAGCATTCCCTCTCGTTCACCTCTCTGCGTTACTCTCTTTTCCACTACCATGGCCAGCGGGGATTCCGACTCGCCGCTAACCTCTCCTTCTCTGGAGAAGCAGTTCGAGAAGTTCCGAGTCCAGCTAGAAGATTCTGATAGCTTACGTGAACACATACGCGCCATCGTTATGGAAATTGAGTCGGCCACTCGACTCATGCAACCTAGCCTCGTCCTCGTTCACCAATCTAAACCAATTCCCCGTAACAATCTTCTTTTTCATCTTCTTCTTTTTTATTTAAATGATTTTTTTAATATTATCTCATTTGCAATTTTATTTATAATAGAGGTTTTAGAGAAGGCAAATGCTCAGATTAATGTTCTAAAGGATCTTTACAACAAACTTGCTGAAGTTGTTAGGGAATGCCCTGGACAATATTGCAGGTGAGATTGACTTAAGCTTTTGGTGAATTTCAAGTTATATTTTATGCAGAATATTTTGTGTTATATGTGCTCTTCCCTTTTATGGTATTTGTTGTGTTTAGATATCATGGGGACTGGAGGAGTGAAACTCAAATGGTAGTTTCTTTGCTTGCCTTTATGCATTGGTTGGAAACTGGAAATCTGCTTATGCATACTGAAGCCGAGGAAACACTGGGATGTATGTTTCGACGATGAATATTTCTTGTTGTTGCGAGTATTTTTTGTCTTTTCTAATGATAAAATTGGTTGTTTTGGCAGTGAATGATTTGGATTTTGCTTTAGATCTGGAGGATTATCTTGTTGGTAAGTGTTGAAAGTTTCTTTCTTCAAAGATGTTGCTGAATTTTATCATCTAATGGATTGTAATGTTTGGTCTATACATTCTTCAAAGATGTTTGGTTTATACATTCTTCAAAGATGTTTGGTCTAATGAGAAGTGACATGATATTTACTGATCTGGGAAGGTTTTCCCCATCATGCAGGTATTTGTTTCATGTCAAATGAAATGCTAAGAACCATATCAGCAACTTGCTCTGTCTCAGGCTTTCTGAACTGGCAAATGCTCTCTTGCTGCTCTATTCTTCTTATGACCTTTTAGTCAGGTGTTTGCTGTTCGGTGAAACTGCAAATTACAGATAACTTGTTACAATGTATGTGATAATTCCTAATGAAACATTATGGAAATTGAATAACTAGTGGAATGCGCATCTCTGATGATGTTGTTGATGATTTGTTAACCTACAATTAAAGTAACTGGGAAAATGTGGGAAAAAGCCATAACACGACATCAATTGTATTTCACTTTTCCAGCCAAGATATGTGGTGAACCAAGTTACTGCTGGTGACTATGATTGCCAAGAAAGGTGTTGAGGTTCTTGACAGATCTCCATGCAGCCTTCCGGATGCTTAATCTCCGTAATGATTTCATGCGCAAGAAGTTTGATAGTAAGCTTAATCTTCTTTAGTGCTTAGAGAATCTGGTGTTTCAAGCAACCTGTTTTCATAGACCTATTTTTTTTCCTAAATGCCTTCTCGTTACTGTAGGTATGAAATATGACCTAAAAAGAGTTGAAGAGGTGTATTACGACGTTAAGATTCGAGGCTTGGCAACCACTGGCGATTCTGTAGGTGATCAAGGAATCCAAAAGATATGATAGTTTGCTAAAGTGGTATGTAGAACTATTACATCAACTCTTCATTTTCTCGACTACAATTTCTTAAGGTAGTTTGTAAGCTTCACTGCTCGGTTTAAAGCCAAATTTTGCTACCTAAACAAGGAAAGAAGGCTAAATAAAAAGTTGTACCAAAAGCATATTTGATAGTCGTAAGCCTTTTCAATTTGTTTATTCGATCTTTTGCTCAAGATAGTGCTTTTCTGCTATTTCATCATAAATTGTTGCTTCTTTACTGCATTTTTGGGTCAGTCTCTATGGCTTAGCTTGCAAAATGCAATTTGTGATACCCTTGTCTTTCATTGTTAAGCTTGGTATTCCACATATATATTATTTGTTCCCCAGTCACATGAATTCATGATAATAACGCTCTCAACTTATTTTACCTTGTTTATAAGCTATATAAGTGGAAATTTACATATGTTCGTATTCACTTTTGTTTTCTGGATCAACATATTCACATTGATATGAACTAAAGTTGTTCTTCTTAGAGGTCTTAGATTCTAGCAGTTATGTTTGTAGGATGTGTATACATTGTTAATAGATTAAGAAAGTTTTAAACATATACTACATTGTAATCACCCAGACTATAAAAAAAATCAACCTATGTTGGCTTCTATTTACTTGATTTAATTGTATAGGAAAATATACAAAAACCAAACTAAAAAAGAAAATGTGTTATAAGGTTATTTTAGCAATTTGATTTCTATTTTAATAATATTATATTCCTTATTCACTCCTGTTTTCACTCTGTCTATATTTAGATATTTCTAATCTGTCATTATTTTGTTTTAAATGGTTTATTTTATTTACCGTTAGTTCTTCCTATTTTAAATATGTATTATAAAAATTTAATTTTTTTCAGTTATGTAGTCAGTGTACGAAGGACTAGTTAATATAGTGCATCATTTTGTTAAGGTGGTTTGGTATTTTCCTTTTAAAAGGCTCTTGCATGCGTTTGGTTTCGTAAACTTATATAGCTTCAGATAATATCCGACGTTAATGTAAGATTATCAATAGTAAAAATTATTTGGGAATATAATGGACGATATTATTATCTCTCGTTTCTTAAGTAACGTAATATTACAGGTAATTTTATCCCAAAAGTTTATTATTTTCTCAATTTAATCTATCTAGATTAGACATGTTTAACTCAATTCGTTGAATTCATCCAAGTTTGAATTAAATCTAAATAAAATTTAAAATGTATTTTAAATTTTATAATAAAATATAAAAATTAATATAAATATAGATTTTATTAATTCTATAGTTTATTGTACTACACATCTCTAGACAATGAGTCTCATTTTAAGTTAATCTTTTAAATTTTAAATTTTATTTTCAAATTATTTATAATTTATAATTTTATTCTCAAATTATTACTCATTCTAAATGTCTATGAACTATTGAACATTCCAATTTTATTTTAAATTACGACTCCTTTTGAATTTATCTCTAAATTTTGAACTTCGTCAATAGACTATTTATATGTGCTAATCACATTCGTCGTCAATAAAATTGTTATAAAACATGTTAACTCTCATATAAACACTAAAGGTAAACAATACTAATGATCCCTTACATTTTTTGTTTATTCAATTTTGGTCACCCATTTTCAAAAAGTATGGTTTCTGGCCTCTTATGTTATTAGTTCACTACAATTTGATCTAATCAATAAGAACATTCTAAAAAGTCAGATAAACTCAATCTAATGCTCAGTTGTCATATAGAAGCAGAAGGGGAGGATGAGGAATTTATTTATTTATAATGTAAAAATAAAAATTAATATTTAAATAATTTAAATTTATATCTTAAATAAATATTATTTAAATTTTAAAATAATCAAATATTAAATATACTTGAAAAATATTAATATTCTCAAATGAATGGAAAAGTATTTATAACTTGACATCCAATTTTAATTGTACTTTAAGTTGAATTTTAATTTGGTTGGAAATATAACAATTCCATAATTTTATTTAGTAGGGTCTTTTATAAGGACCCCTGTTTAGTTCTCTTTTTACAGTTCTATTTATTTCGAGATGATGATACAGTTCAACTTAAATATTAATTTTAACAAACTATCAATTTAACTCAGTGGTTGAATTCCATTTGTTTTAAGGTGATGATAAATGTTACTATAAAAAATAAATTCTTTAATTTTATATCACCAATAGAAGATTACTATAAGAAAAGAGAAAATAATATGAAAAATAAAAAACATTACGTAAAAAACTTCTGTAATACTTCTATTAGTGTGCGATTTGGATATATAACAATTCTGCTATACAATTTAATTTAATAATTCAAGACTAATTTAAAGCCATTTATGTTAGTTAATTTAATAATTCAAGACTAATTTAAAGCACTTTCAACCTTAATATATCATATTCAACTTAAAAATTTATATAAATTTATAATATTTTTTGTTATAACCAAAAATATTACATTATTATAGTTTTAAAATTTACAAGTGAAACATTATACAAATTTATAACCTTTTCAATTATAACCAAAAATGTTATGGAAAAGTCTCGTTCAATTCAACCTAAAAAGTTATATAGATTTATAGCATTTTCGATTGCAACAAAAATATTATGAAGAATATAACATTTTCAATTTAACTTTCAATAGTAAATTATCCAACTGAAAAAATCACGCTCTTAATAATATTTTTGATTGATTTATGTCTTAATAATATTTTTGATTGATTTATGTCGTTTTTCAATCTTACATTAACAAGTTGAGGGATAATTAACATTGGGAAGCATGGGAAGGGATTAATGGGAAACATGGGAGAAGCCATGGAAGTTAGTTGAAGAGGAATTTAAAAATGGCTTACCATATAAATAATAATATAGTAAAAGAGATGGCAAAGGGAGGCTGACCAGGCCAGCTAAGAAAACCAGAAGAATGCAGGAGCAGAGGCCTGAAAAGGAACTGAGGAGAAGAGAAGTCCAATCAAATCATTGGATTATTCATACAAGTGTGACCCACATACCTGTTTAAGTCCAATCAAACTAGCTGTTTACCTATGGAACTTATATGTATATTACCAAAAAAAAACCCATTAGATGCATGCACAGACACACAAGGGTGCAGGGCTACGGAAATGCTTATCCCTAATCAAGCTGCAGAACGTAATAACCTAGAAGAGAGTAGAATACTTCATCTTTTATATTTCCTATATTACAACATAGGCTATCGTTAGTTATGATTATAAGAATAAATGAAAAGCTCCTTTTCAGATTTTTTTTCAGTTTTTTTTTCTTGAGGTGGTTACAAGGATAATATATATACATAATCTTTCTTAATTATCAATAATGCGTACACACCTGTGACCGCAGCTACCAATACTAACAGTTGCATAAACATCAACAAACTGAAAGTGTGGGAATCGCACTTTGCCCAAGAAACTCATCCCATCCCTCTTTTATATCTTATCTTTTTCCCACTCTCAACTTGCTCTCTCTCAGTTCACGTCTGACGTTAGAAGCAATAATTTCGTACAGCCTTTTCATATCATGAGATGCATGTTCGTAAAGTTTCGTATCAAGACACCAACTGCTATAAAAAGGAAGGATATACCATCTGAAAATTCATACATTTGAGCTATTAAAGAAATATCGTTACTAAAACTATCACTAATACATAAAAACCTACCAATCCTCTTAGGCCTTAGCTACCATCATATCAACCATTTAATGACCTGTCTCTATCTCTATTTCTTTCAGTTCCACCACCCAAATCTTCATTTCAGATTATATGCAAGTTCTTTTTCCTCCCATCTACTGTCTATGTTGGCATATTACTAGAAAATGAAGGGGAAATTTGTAAAGGCATGCATTACCAAATGGAGGAGGATGGGGAGTAAAGTCATACCTTGTAGCAGTTGTGAATTCTGTTCTGAGTGGGCAAAGTGGCCTAGTTCAATGCATGAAGAGGGCTCAATCCCAAGAGATGTACCGAAAGGTCACTTAGTAGTATATGTTGGTGAAAACCATAAGAGGTTTGTGATTAAACTCAGCATGCTCAAGCACCCACTGTTCAAAGCATTGCTAGATCGAGCTCAGGAAGAATATGATTTTACCACCGACTCCAAACTCTGCATTCCTTGTGATGAAAGCCACTTCCTCGATGTTGATCGCTGTGCTAGCTCTCCTCAAGATTGATTACTCTCCCGGAATCTAAAGGAATTTATGCTAGAAACTTGATTGATTCACAAGGTTAGGTTTCGAGTCTAGTAATGATAATATAGAGTATATTGAGTGGAATTTTGTAACATAAATTCTGTAGCCTATAAATATAACTTCATTGGAAAATATTGTCTTCCAGTTTGCACTATTGTAAGATCTGTTTCTAAGGGCCTCAGCCGCTAAGCCATGTGAAAGCTCTCGTGCCAAAATAGAACCCAGTTAAACACACAGTACGACGCCAGATCAACACTGAACAAGAAGCCAGACCAGATCCTACCAGCTCTAGCCTTCGCCTTACATTGAAATTTAAAACAATAATATCAGCAAATTAACGTATAAAACATATGTTACTCGGATTCGAGTGTAAGCATCATATATAAATGTCCAGTTAAACACACAGTACGACGCCAGATCAACACTGAACAAGAAGCCAGACCAGATCCTACCAGCTCTAGCCTTCGCCTTACATTGAAATTTAAAACAATAATATCAGCAAATTAACGTATAAAACATATGTTACTCGGATTCGAGTGTAAGCATCATATATAAATGTCCAACAGATGTATCATCTAATATTTGCTAACGTATCACATCCCAATAAATATGCCCATTACTGCATAAAGCACAAACATCGCATGCCCCTACCAGTTGCCACTCAATTTCCCCAACTACTTTTCTTCACTCCAATAAAATGGAAAAACTCACAGCTAAAGTAAATTTATACGAAATTTATGCAAGCCCTTTTGCGCTCTTTCATGATTAAACTCATATTTTCTTCTCTTCATCAACTAACTTAACATTCATTGCATCTCTCATAAATAACCTTTGGTCAGTCTAATGATGGTTTCATTCCTAAAGCTCGTCAAGTTAACCATCTAAGACATCAGTAAGCACACTAAGAACAGTATCCAGCATTCAAAACTTAAAAGCCTTTACATTTTTTCCCATTTGATAATTTAATGGACAGCAATGGAATACATGGCAGTCAACATCTCAAACAAATTTCTCCGCGGGTAAGAACAAGAAAAGCCTACCAGTGCAAATACAGAAATTTATATAATCACACACCCACAAAGAGTAAAGGAAAAAGACAACACAACAAAAACATAGCAGTACAAGTATAACAGCATCAACACTACATGAAGCATCAGATAGATAACAGAATATACACATAGAAGCTTTGTTGTGGAACAATTACTCGAGTATTATATCGTTTTCCCTCATGATAAAAGTACATGATATGCATTGACAGGTTTTTAGACAAAAATCTGGCAGTATTGCATCACTAGCACTGCAAAACTAGGAAGACTCAAAGCCTTTGAAAAGGTCACTATCTTGAGCTATCATCAGTATCACAACAACAAAAATCTAGCAGCAAAAGCAACTTTCACCATTTTTTTCTCTATTGAGTTTCATCGATGTCCATCAACCAAAGCCTCCAACTCTCTCCTCCCGTACCTCCTACCCTCTGCATTAGCTTCCCTATACTTTACCACAAAGTAAAATATCAACCAAGCCACCATGAAATACACCTCCAGAGCTGCCTGGATAACCGTGGCAAAAACCTCTCCACCCATACGAGTCAATACCAATCTTGCTAACGATCCACTTAAAATAGATTCATAACACTTTATCTGTATCCCTTGGTTCAGATGTGTTGACATCAAATAACAACCTTCTTTAATAATTTCTCTCCCGCTTCTCCTTGAATCCACAATGGCAATCCAAGCAGCTAATGAGAATGCAAATGAAACTAAAGTATCCACAAGAAACCACGTAAACAAAAACCCTGAAATCTCCTTCTCATAACCCCTAATCCATGGTGACATAACTGAGAAAGGCATCAACTTTAACCTAATAAAAAGCTTAAAGAACGAGTAATGATCCTCAATTTCTCCGAAATACCATAATCCAATAAGCTGAGTCACAGCGTCTCTTACCGCCCATTTTATCAAAACGAACCCAGTGAGTCTTTTCAAACCCATTTTAGACCCATTCCAAAAAGCCCCAAAAAAGGAAACGAATCTTCCTATCAGGTCATTAACAATTGTGATGAAAAGAACACCAAAAACCAAAGAATAAATAACCGTAAACCCTAGAATTACCCATCCATACGCCGCCGAAAGAAAGCTAACAACAAAGAACAGCGCAGCTGCGTCATGGCGCCCTAATTCAAATCCTTTATAAACGAACTGAAAATCCACAATTCTTTCTTCTTGATGCTCCCCTTCATTGTTTTCGTAGTCAAATGAAATCGTCTTAAATTTGACTCCGTACCGAACAATTTTCGGCAGCAGAATTCCGTTATCTGCAACAAAATTCGAAAACCCTAATTTAGTATCGAAATTTGAAAGGATCACCGGCGTGCCATTGAGGGGGCGATTAGAGAAAGAACTGAACGGGGAGCGGTGGCGGAGCTCATCTTCAGAAGATAAGAAATCGTCGTCAAGAGTGCCGAGGCGCGTGAGGTGGAGGAAAGAACGGCGTGTGTGGCGACGGGTAGACTTGAAACGAGCGTTCGGGCGGGAAGGGTGGAGGTCGAGGCGGGTAAGGAGGGATTTGAAAGAAGGATCGTGGTCAATAAAGGAATTGAGGACAAAGGAGCCGGATTCAACTAAAGAACGGAAGGAGAGTAGGAGCAGAGAAAGGAAGATGAACATGAAAGGGTGAGCGGTGAAATGCACGGCGGTCCTTTTAAGGATCTCGGATGTGGACCGCAGCTGGCCGAATCGGTGGTGGTGGTGGTCGGTCATTGCTGTTTTCTCTTTGACGTTCAGATTTCTTTTTTATTTTAAGAGAATTTGCTTTCGCTGCTTCAAATTATAATAAGGCCGATATTTAGTTTGGGCCCAAATTTGGGCCATGTGGATTAGACAAAAGTAAATGGAATCAATGCTGGAAGTAGGAAAATAATTTAGATTTTAGGATAAATTCTCATATCATTTAATTATATATTTGATAATAAATATGTTATTTTTAAATATATAAAAATATATATATATATATATATTTAAATTAAAATATTATTATAAAAAAATAAAATTAAAACATGTGTCAAACGTGGTTGGTATAATACTAATCTTAGTCCTCAAAATTTATATATTTTATCAATTTAGGGGTTGTTTGTTTGCCTCTTAATGGAATCATTAAGCGTTGAATGATGAACCGTTCAGCATTCAGCGCGATTATTTCGCACCTCTGAATGATTCAGTGCTGACTGATTCAGCAAAACTGTGTTAAATGATTCAACACATAAGTACATTCTGAATGATTCAGAGCCATTATCAAACAACATGTCACATTCAGAGTTAATTCATTCAGAGCCTCACATTCAGAGTTAATTCATTCAGAGCCTCTGAATCATTCAGCATTTGAATCATTCATCGCTTAATCATTCTGAAGTAAACAAATAGCCCCTTAGTCCTAATTTGAAATAATTTACTAAATTTAATCCTTCTTATTTAAAATTTTCATCTTTCTTTTATGATACTTCAAACCAAGTGGACTTGTGACTTGTCGGAATAAAGTAGCATTTGAATAAATGTACTCTACTATAAAGTAATAACAATTTACTATTAAATTGTTATTATATCAAGAAAGTAATATAATATTTTTGAGAAAAAAGAAAAATTAAGGAAAATAATAAAAACTAAACTGGTGAAATTTTGAAAAAAATGAAAGGTTAAATTTACTAATTGATTCGAACTAGAAGTAAATTAATAGAATTTATAAGTTTTGGTGATCAAAATTATTATATCAAGTCACATCACTTCCATCAATATTTAACCATCATTGAATTGTTTACAATAATGTTTTAATTGACTAAATTGTTCTGTAAGAAAATAAAATGTTTTTTACACATGATCGATAATAGGGATGCTTATTCAGCGTGTCAATCACAAGTTGAACAGTGTTTGACTCGACTCGAAAACTATTTAACTCATGTTAAATTTTACACTCGATAAGCTTGATAAATTTTTGTTGGATTCATGCTCGTTAAGCTCGTCAGAATTTATGCCTTATTTTTTAAAATATATGTAAAATCCAAAAATACTATATAGAGCTTAGTATAAAAACATAAATTTTAAAAATAAATAATAAAAATGATCAAAATAGTATGTGAAGTAATTCCAAAGTCTAAATTCCAAAGTAATAATCTACAAATATATCAAACTAACATATTACGATCAAAGTAACAATCCACAAATAAATCAAACTAACATATTACAAAAAAAATAACAATACATAATCAATCCTTAAATAAGGCAAACAATATCCTAAAAAATTGTAAAAAAATTAACGAGTTGTTCGATAAGTCCTATTAGATCTTCTACGGAAGATGCTCTCAACCTGATGTTGGGGACAGCTTACTATCTTACCTCCCCTTACCCCATTACATATGGGAACAAGGACACCCACTCATATGTCAATCTTTCCTCTCTTGTTTATATTTTGTTATGTTTTTTTATATATAGAATAGTCCACTCACTAATACGTGCAAAGCATGCATATTAGAAAAGAAAAATGTGAGTACATAAAAGGAATAATACTTCATTTCAAGCAAACAGTTGAAAACCCCATCATCTTTAAGTAGAACCAAACATGCTTTTGGTTTTATTACTCGAAGCATTTCTCAACACACCAAGGATTGAAACCGAAGGATGAAAAAACCAAAGAAAATTATTGGATGACAAATTCCCAAAGATTGAAACCAAAGGAACCTAGCATATTGGCAGAGGGGTGCCGTTCCATTCCTTAAGACATTCCAGCATTGGATCAATGATCTTCCATTGGCACATGGCAGTGAACACCTTGTCAAACTCCTCCCCAGCTGACTTGACCTTTTCTCCGGTTAGCAGCCCAGTTCCGAGCTCCTCCCTCACGAATTTGTACAACGGATACGATCTGCAATCCTTGATCTTGTTAGGAGTTGCTGCATTTCCATTCTCAACTGACACCCTTGCACTCTCAACATCCTTTGGCAAAACAGCCTTCAATTCGTCTTCGAAAGCTGCAATCTTTTGGAAGATCGAAGTACTTGTATTCTTCTCATTTTCAGCGTTTGTCAATGCATGCTCAACAAGAACTTGCCTCAGCTTTTGCATCAATGGATAGGTAGCATTGCAAGGGTCATCGGCATAGGCAAACACATATTCACCTTCCACGGCTTTGAGTAAATCCTTTTCGCAGAATCTTGAAGGGTGAAGTTCACCATTGACACCACTAGTGAGCGTTTTCTTAACTATCTGGCT